AATAGTTATATATATATATATATATATATATATATATATGTCTAGTATAGTTAATATTCTAATATCTACTCCTACTATTCTTTAGTTACTATGTTTTTTTGAAGGATTAATATTAGCCATCCCTATTTTTACTTCCTTTTTTTAAGTTTTTCTTTACTTGGTTTTTTTTAATGCAGTGTTTCAAAAGACATAGAAAGGTTGTATTGATAACCAAGTTCTAAATACAGTGAGGTTCCAACTTTAATATTTATTGTTTATCTATTATTGGCTGGTAATTCCTGTACTTACGCTTTTAAATGAAACACCAAATTTCTGTAAGAAAGTTAGTTTCAAGGGGTAATGATAATATTGTTTACACTAAAATTACAATTTTTTTAATTACTACTAGTTAATTATACTTATAAAAGCGGATACTCCGTTTGAAACTATGCCACTTTGGTGAAATTGGTTGACACCATTGTTTTGGTTTTTAAGTAATCATGTAATAAAAAAGAAGCAGAAGAAAGAAGGATATTTACAGAGGCATTCCCAGATCTCGTGACTCAGTCATTACAGACATACTGTTATAAAAGAAAACACTGTATAGTATTGTAAAGTTCTGATGATCTATTGAGGAGATATTTAAAATACTATTTCGATGAACAATATGAGCCATCCCAACATAGGGAGTGCTACCACCTGCCTGATAATTACATCTTTAATAAAAACATTTAACAAATACGATTTTTCTCAATACTTCAAACAGCTTAAAAAAAAGTATAAGTGATAGAGGTTTAAGCTAGATATTACATAGAACCATAAACATGCAGTATTTATAACATTCAAGTCTTTTCAACCAAACATTTGAGAAAGGTAATTCTGGGACATCAACTTGTTCCTTACTTCCTTTTGAGATTCACCTAGATGAACTTGATCAAGCAATTTGAGGGCAACCTCCACTGATGCTTCCTCTGGCCATTCTCCAAACCAATCAATAGTTGTACAGCTGACCAGTGCAGGGTAGTTCAGTAGCCTTTTCCTGTTGTTTAAAATAAAATCAAAAATATGTAAAAAAAAAATAAAAAATAATTGAAAATGTTTGAAAATATTCAAAAAATATTTTCATTAGATTATTGCATTCAAGTAACAATAATGAGCATGTGTATAAATATATATATACACATATCTAGATGTGTTTTTAAAGTCACAAGGGTAGCCAAATAAAAATTTAAAGCTGTACTATAGCGCCATCATAACTCACTTTACTTGCAATCACAGTAAACTAAAATAATCTATAATTATATAAATTTGGATATCAAATTAAATTTTCTCAACAGAAAAATTGTGAAATAATGTGTTACCACTGCAATAAGCTAAAAGGAATCTATTATTGAATTGATTTGAATATCAAATTAAATTCTCTTAAAAGAATTATGATTTGATATCTTGCTTACCACTATAATAAACTAAAGGTAATCAAATGAACTACCACGATCCAAAAGTAATATTTTGTTACATTATGTTGCCAATCACCTTAAATTATTGTAAGTAAAATTTAATTAAACACATCAGAAATTAGATAATTTGTTTAGTACAAGGAACTAAAAGCTACAAAATCCAAATTTTCCAGCAGAAAGATGATGGTAATATACATGTTTAAATTTATGTAACTGTTTCAACTTTACAAGGAAGTAAAAGTAATATATTATTAAATTTAGTTTTGTGTCAAGTCAGATTCATTCAAATACTTTTCAAATTAATAAATCTGTTTCATACCAAAAGGAACTTAAAAGTAACATGTCATTATATTCTGCCAGGTGTTAAATCAATATCTCTCCACAGACATTTTGGTGGTTAAGATCAAATGTTTAGTAGTCCTGTGATCAACTTCAGGGATACAAAATAATTATAATAGGTCAGTTTGTGTAGGTGCATGTTTGAATTATAGTACATAAGTTATTAGCCTACAGCACTAAATATTTATATAATTATAAATTAATGATAATCCTATACAATTATTTAGTTTTGTGCACAAAAAACATTGAAGGTAATATTTAAGATAATTTATAACAAATACTCTTTTGGGATTCATGACAAACAGTACAAAAATTACTATCAAATCTGATCATCTTTTTTAAGAGTAACAAATATACATGACACTACAAAAACAATTTCTACCCAATCGGTGATTTATTTTGAAGTAATCCATAAAATGTTTTGATTCAAACCTGTATGGTTCTCCAACAGGACTAATACAGAACACAACATGAAGATTATCTTTAACTTGGTCTAGAAACTGGACAAACAGGACTTGTTTATCTTCACTAACTTTTCCAGATAGATCTGAGTTTTTAAGAGACGAAACCACCTAAATAGACACACACATACACAGAATAAAAAGAAGTTTTAACAACCAGTATTTTGAAAGTAACAAAAACCTTATATTTCTGAATACAACCGAGTATAATTATTTGGGGTATATGAAAATCAAAAAAACAAAAAGTGTTTAAAAGTGGCTTTGATTTTTGATACATACATTGATAACAATCAAACAGGCTGACTTAATCGATGTAGTAATGATGAGTAATATTATTCTGATACTTTAATAAAGAAACTTTTTGAATTTTACACAGAAAAAATTTAACATAGATTATGCTGGTAAAATTTGATGCCATAATGTTATAAACTATATATATATATGATATTTTTTTTAAAGTAAGATACGATTAAGCCCTATTGTAAAGGTAAGTAATGACCTATGTAAAATTTTATGTCATAATATTATAATCAGTATTTACAAATCATTGTTTTTTTAACATAAGTCATAATGAAAACATAAATAATGACTACATATTGTGATATCAAGCCTAGTTTCTTACTTAATTGTCCCATCAAAAGATAATCTTTTTTTTTAAACTTCTCCAAACAATAAGCCTAATACAAACACAAATTATAATGAAACAGACTTTCTTCAATTTGGTCTTCAGGCTAAATGTGTCTAAAACTTAATGAATCAGAAATGGAGAAATGTTAGTTTTTTTACCCATGGGACACTTAGCATGGCTTTCACATCAGAAAAACGTAATTATAGTTGATCTAAGGCAGGATGTGTGTGAAAATTAGGTATAGTAATAGCATACCAGTGGGGTCTGCACTACTTCTGGTACAGGTATGCTCTTTGCTCGGACTACATGAAATCCAATTCTTGGGAGGTAAAGGCTAACCAGCCACAGAGGCAACATTATGTCACACCAGAAAAATTTAATTATAGTTGGTATAAAGCAATCTTAATTTGTTAGGTACTGTAACTTCATAGATTCATAGTTTCTACACTGAATTAAATTTAATTAATTTAGCTCCAATTGCAGACCATGCACTTAATTCTTAAAAAACAAAAATACATATTCATAAATTACAAAAAAGGATCAATTTCCCACCTAACAATCTTAATCCAACAAGAAAAGGACTACTTATTTTGTCCAAATGTGTGTGGATTAGTTTCTATTTGTTGTTAAACATACTGCTGCACAATGGACTCTATGTACCAACTGTGCTCACCACAGGAATTGAACCCCATATTCATTATAAGCTCTCAAACTTACTATAAGCCACCATGGAACAAAAGTATCTCTGAGTAGTTAAAATACCTCAGATGATAAACAAAATAAAATCTCAAAGAAAATTAATAAGTAATAAAAAATGAATAAAAACATGGAATTTTAATATATATATATATACATTTAGAATAACAGTAAAGATATATTATTTTGTGACCATAATCTATGTAATAAAAATTCGTTTTTTCTTTTATTTTTACCTCATCCACTTCTTCTTGTTTGAAGAGATTGGGAACTTCTCCACTGCTCAGTATATTGTTAATATCTTCCAGAAACCCTTCATGTGTTACTTGACTGTCAGTAAACAGGAAAACTGTGGGTTTTTTCTGAATTCCTGTCTGCCAATATAGATTCTTCAGGTCTATGATATGTTTTGGAAGAGTCAAATTGGACAGATTACTGTAAAATGAAACACTGTATTGTGACAATACATTAGCATGTGAAAAGTTAATATTTTTCTATTACAAAAATGTATTTCCAATAATACTTACCATTACTCACACTTTATCACTATTCCAACAAAAGTTTCTCTACTCTGTCCATCTAAGCACTGGTATGAATCTTACCTCAATTACCTCCAGCCTTTATACCCCACTATATTGCCCACAGAGATTTAAATCTTGTGATTCTCTCCACCTATGTCAATGTGCCCCTATACCAGATCCACATATAAGTTCCCCGTTATTACTTACCATTCACTTTTTGAGATGGTCTAAATTAACAGACCTGAAACTGGCTATTTCATGGAGAGAAAGGAAGGGTGTGAGAGTGTGAGAGAGGTATATATTATTGGAAATACATTTTCAAAATAGGAAAATATTAACTTCCAAAACACACAATTTCTTCACTTTAGCTAGAATCCCACATTGAGAAGGTGGATGGACTGGTGAGGGCAAGGTCCACACAGGAAGCATCTGCTCAGAAAAGAGGTGTGTGAAAATTAGATACAGTAATAGCATACCAGTGGGATCTGTACTACTTCTGGAACAGGTATGCTCCCTGCCAGGACTAAATGAAATCCAATTCTTGGGTGTTAAAGGCCAACCAGCCACAGAGGCAAAATCTTAACATGTTTAGAACACAAATTTGCCTAGGCCTCAACCATGCAGATGAGGTCCCACGTGTCATCCTTGGGATTATAGGGTTGTGGACCCAAATTGAGATCCAAGGTGTAGTGGCTAGGGCATGAGGACCACTATATTGTTTAGTCTTGCTTAGCAAAGTGATATTATTGGAACCCAACCTGAAAGTTACAGAATGTTGCATGTAAAGCCACTGGAATTACGAATAGAAGGCAAGCAACACCAAAATGGACAAACCTTTGCCTCAACCTGAAGAAGTACAAATTGCAACAAACTCAACTCAGAATTATGGGACCTGTCATGCCTCACTCAACCTGAAGAGACAGAGATTACCGAGTCTAGCACAGGAAGTGACACTCTGAATGCAGAAGTACAAGGAGTTGAGGACCCTCTTCTAGGATCATCGAAATAAAGAGAATGACCAAAAAGAGGGGCAATGCACAACTCAGTCAGATAGAAAAGAGCCATCTCTGAACTGGAATTATGAAGAGGCTCTTGTGTATGCTAGATCTGTTCCAGCCATAAATCTGGAAAAATCATCCAAGGTTATAGGTAAAAGAGCATTCAGCTTTGCCCTCTTCTCTATGAGTGGAATAATGAGTACAAGCATCACTCAGGAGGAATAAACCTCTGTCCACTACTCCAGCGATTGGAAACTGGGAGTGTTAAGGACTTCCATGCTCCACTAGGAGAAATGGGAGGAATACTCACGTTGGTGAGTCTCGAGGAATGATGCTCTGGAGACAGTGCAACAGGCGAACCACATTCCCTATTTTGAAAATCAAGTCAACCCTGATTTCTTCAGTCTAGGGTTCAGCAGGGATGGGCAAAATCCCCTTAAGCTTTACTCATGATAGTCCATGAGTGGCAGTCCAGTAGAGTATTTGTTTTTGTATAAATATTTACCACATAGAAAGTACACAAGGTGGTTTTATGGAACACTCACTCTCAACACAGCTCATTACTACCAGGAAAATTATTGATTGGTCGACTGGTACCTAGTGCGGATTTGAAAAGAAGTACACCTGACCAGGCAACACCTGTCACAGGGTGGGATCCAAGTGAAAATGACAAGAGGGCCACTGAAAAAGAAATGAAGTTACCTCTTTTACAAATGAGCTGGGGCATGAAGAATAGCCAGGAGGGGGGGGGGGGGGTAGGCTGAAAACCTTCTGAGGAGGCAACTGCCAAATCATGTAAATAATGAGATATAAAGACATACCAGACTGTACAATCTTCTCCAGCAGGAGACACAACCTAGCAGCCAGGGACATAGAGATATGGAGAATTTGATGAGATGAAACTTAAAGAAGCCTCTATCCCTCCAATGAAAGCCCAGAGTAAGCAATACATACCAACTGACGGACCAAACCTGTCAATGTGACTGGGGAAAAGTCATGTGACACCTTAGGATCCCAATAAAGAAACGGTGTCGTGAACGCTGCAATTCTTCAGTGCCCACAACAAAGCATCGAAGAGCCAAAACCAGGCACAAAAGATGATCCAGATCCAAGTGTTCATAAAAAGGGAAATGGAGGGAAGATGAATAGGAGAGAAAGCCTTATCCTCTTCTCTAGCTGCTGAAGTTTTAGGAAGAAACAACCTAGCAGGATACAATAGAACATAAGTAGAATGCTAAAAGAGTCCTGTGAACATGAATCTCAAATGAAGACCTGTCTCATCTTGACTGAGAGCATCTATGCCAAAGTCAGAGGTTGAGAAATAGGGTGCCAGAAGGACAGGAGCTGGACATTCCAGTGAGTAACAAAAGCAATGAACTGAGGCGTCCCAAGACGAAAGAAGATCCAATGAAAAACTTGTGGATGAAGAACTCTATTGAGACAAGATAACTGATTGGCCACAAAATGCATAACCTTGAACATGACAAGCAAGAAGAACAATCTAATTTTTGTGGGCCCAAGAGAGAAGATCCAATGTCTGAAAACAAAGAAACGTGGATTGAGTGCCCACTTGTGTGGAAATGTAGGAGACCACCATTGAATTGTCCAAGTGAAGCATTACCACCTGCCCTCATATACTACGTCACCAATCCTCATCTTCATCTTTATTACAAACAAACAGGAAGAAAACCCTCGAGAGAGTAGTTGACACACTCTACAGCCTCTTTGAGCAGAAGATCTTGGATGGCTTGTGCTCAATGATTGGATGATCCTTGGGTAAGGGAAAGACAACCATTATGGTAGACAATGGAGTAGGAAGCGTGAAATGAAAGACCAACCTTCTGGTACGAACCTGAAGAAGCCACTGACCGGAAGCAAAGGTCTCCCTTACAAACCAAAACTGTCTGAGTCAAGCCTCCACAGGGTAGTCACCTATACTGTTGTCAGCACTCTACATGAGTGTAGAATATCTGGTGATAAGAGTGGAGGCCAGTGTCTGAAGAAAAAAGTGGAAATGGGCCAGATCCACACGAGATTCCATGAAATCTGGAATACCTGCAAAAATGGAAAGTCTAAAAAAAGGAGCTTCTCCAAGATCTATAAGGGCTGAAGAAGGAAGTCAAATGCCCTCAAGCAAGGCATCTCTCTCCAAAAGATCCCAGCAACAAACCACCAGGAAACCAACTAAGGAGAGAGAGAGCAGAAGCTGATAACCTTACTAAAGTAGAAGCCAATAAGTGGCTAAGATCCTCTGAAAATTGAGCACGAGACCTGTGAAAGGTCTCAGATAACAGTTGCAAAGAAGATAAAAAAATGCAAAACTGTAATAAGGGGCAGTCGAATCCTGTAAAATTGAGTGTGGGTAAGATGAACAGAAACGTCAGGCCCAGAACACTAAAAAAGAAAAGGAGAATCCGACCTATGTGAATCAAAATATGGGTCCACCAAGCAATGGAAACCTAAGGCATGCCAATCCAATAAACACGGAGGACAAGGCATGGCAGCAGCCTCTCTCAATTGATCTGCAAATCACTGAGCATGCACAGCAAAGTCTGGTGAAGGTGGAAAGACTAAGTAATCAGCCGAATGAATTTCCTCCTACAAAGGAGAAGAAGAGTTGTAAGCCACAGAAGAAATCTCAAGATATCACAAGTCTGATGTATTTGCTGCAAAAGGACAATGCAGAAGGTGGGATGCCCATCCAAGGCCCATGATTAGCTACCAGAGCAAAGGAAAGAGCTGAATAAATAAAGTCCAAATTCTCATCAGTCTGCTCCTGATACCCCGCAAGCTCAGCCTCTGAGTCTGCAGGAGAAAGGGGCCTCCCCCGACAACGTTAGACTCCAGAGGTGACAGATTGGGAGCAGTAGGAGACTTCGTATCAGAGACATAAATGTGAGAATTCATATTCAAAATGTCTAAGAATTTTAATTTTATTTGTAATTAGAATTAAAGTAAATAGACAATAAACTCAAAACACAATAATATGGGTCGAAAAAAAATCGTCCAAGTAATAGGTATAACGAAAGTTAAACAACATGTAAAAGAAATCCGCAGCAAGCATGTAAAACCTTGTATGCTGTCGAGAAAAGTGAATAGTAAAGCAATAATAGGGAGCTTACATATGGATCTGGTATAGGGGTGCACTTACATAGGTGGAGAGAATCACAAGATTTAAATCGCTATGGGCAATATAGTGGGGTATAAACGTTGGAGCAAGCGAGGTAAGATTCATACCAATGCTTAGATGGGCAGAGAAGAGAAACTTTTGTTGGGATAAAGCTAAAGTGTGAGAGGAGGTTAGTATGCTTTGTAAATAGGTGTATACTTTATTCTTGAAAATTGGTGTAATATTTTGATAGCTTATTGTTTTTTGTTTGTGTTTTTTTAAGTTGTGACTTATTTTCTCTAGTAGAAAAAAAATCAACTTTGAGATTTATTTGTACACAGGAAATTGTTTTAAAAGGGAACACAAATAGCAATACTTTATTGAAGTAAAACAAATATTTTTCTTGGTACTTCTAAGCTTTGTGTAACATCACTAACTATAAAAGGCTTATTCCCTTTGTCATTCTGTCAAGAACAATTTTATGCTCCTTTTTTGATAATGCTCAACAATATATATCATCATTTAACAACAAAACTATCACCTGATTGTTCTTAGGCCAACTATGGTGTTTATGTTGAATGCTCAATATTCATGTTAATTTGTTAGAACGCTTTGTTTTTTATAACTTCAATGATATAACGTTAGAATAGTTTAATTCAGAAGTTTTGCAAATTGATTTGTAGCAAAAAGCAAAATAAAATTTACCAGGTAGTGTTTCAGCTAAGCCTCACATAAATGTGGTGAATAAATGTTAATTTATAAATATTCTTTTGGTATTTTAACACATATATTACCTACATGGCATTAAAACATCAAGAAAAATAGATGTTTATTACTACCAAATATCTTTTATCCTTTGTATAGTTGAAAGAGTTGAAAGTTTGTGTCAGAATGTCTGTACTATTTTTTCTACTTCCTGACCTATAATACAGTGAAAAGGCTCAAGAGTGCTATTTAATCTCTTTCAGAGTGTACACATACTTTTGTTCAAGATAACTTTTTTTTCTGCCTAGTTTTTACTAAAAATGTGGTGATTAAAGAATTACCTCGAGACTGATGAAATAAGTGAAGAGTAGGTGCATTTTGGAGGTACAGACAAATTCGTTTTAGTTAAATTTTATAATTTTCGTTAATCATTCAACAATGGTTTCCTATCATTTTTGATGGACTTTTATACTAGTCTTTGTAAATAAAATGATTCTGAATATTATGTTGAAAATCATTATACATAAGTCATGAAACTAACATCACACCTCATGTTAAAGTAAATAATTAGAACATAAACAGTTTATAAATAACCCTAGTGCAAACTTTGGCTACTTGAGGGATTTTATCACCAGGTGAACCAATAGATGAAGCTTGATTGAAACATGTATCTTCCTAACACATATCACTAAGTTTACCGCGGTTCCCTTTCATTACTTAATTTTTTCTTTTGCATCATAGTATTAAAATACTGTGGTATTTTCATGTTGAAGTGATTTCTCTAAAAGTGACAACGTAGGTCTGTAGAATAACTGGAAATTCAGTCATAATATTTATTACAAAGAAGTTATGAGTAAATGAGTTCATGAGAAACAAATAAAAAAACTTGACACAAATGTACAAAAATATAATGAATGAACTTTACTATTCATAACCACAGTGTGTATACTTGCTTGATATGATTAACACTCGCTTTAATTGGAGAGCTATATCCAAAACTGCTTTCTCGTTCAAGGTTTTTTATAAACTGACTAAACCTTACATTACTGAGTTGAAACAGTAATTTCAAACTTTCCCAGAATGAGTAGTACTATCAACGTAACTAGTCAAGAACATAAAGAAGGTTGTAAACATGAGATATTACCTAAGCTATCATTGGAGAAAACTGCTGTCCACAGTCATATGCAAGATGCAGCTTTACAAATATTTCTCCCAGGAGCAAACAAGGTGTTACCTCCAAAGAAGGACACACAACAATAGGTAGCTAGAGTGATAGCAACTTAATATCTTTCTTGTGTTTTGTGAAAAGTGCACATACACCTGAGTACCTGACAAATTTTGAAAAATTCTATATTAAAACAAAAAAGACAGAAAATGCATTATATGTTTGCAAACCACGGTAACACCATCTTTCTCTATAAGTATGGGTGTTTACTCACAGGGGCAAGAAAGCATTCCCTGAAATTTCTATTCAAACAAAGTCTTCAAAGTAAACTGAAAAGTTATAAAAACAAATATTAAAGCTTATTATTAGTATTTTGCATAGCATAACCTAAAATATAATAGGCTACTTTTATATTACATGAATTGTGTCAATAGTATGGAAAAAAAACTTATTTACCTTCAGAGATACATAAAAAAGGGTAATTGGATCAGAGGGATACAGTATATATATATATATATAAAATACAGAAATTCACAAAGCAATCAAAGGAAAGAAACTCAAGGCTACAAGAGAACTCTCATTTGATTTACATGGAAGACTGAAAAAAGTTAATGAATTTGGACTTGTGCGGCATAGAGTTTGGCAATTTACCTGAAATTTTTATTCTAACTTTTGTATTTCACGAGGCCTTCATTGTTTAGGGAATGATGGCTAAGTACAATTAGTGAGTGGCATGCAGAATAAAATTCATGAAAATAATAAATTTACAAAAAAATATCAATTAACCAAAAGTAATTTTAGTTTCACATCTTACCCTACTGAAGCTTTTTTTAGCAGACACCCTTGCCTGTAGGTAGCAAACTTACCTTCTCTGAATTCAGCTATTCCATAATTTCTTGACACTTCAACTTGAAATACAGAGTAGTTACATATGTAGGCTGCTAGACGGGTCAAACTCTGTCGTCCACTTCCACCAATTCCTATTAACAACATACTTCCTCTTGGTTGGCGAATCACCCGGATTATTCTACATACTGTACAAGAAGACATATATTTTAGTTTATTTTTATTTAGAAGTACTATGAATCTTTAATTTATTAAATTTATTTTGTCAATTAAAATATATCGTTACACATGTTTTAATATTTATGTATTCATTTCAAAATATAAGCAAATATTTTAATTCCACATTAAAATGCAAGAACTAGAATAATCTATTGATTTCAAGAATCAATTACAGCATAAGATCATTACAAAAATAAAAAAAACATCCACAAGATAATAGTATTTCATTTTCTAAGGACTATGAAATTTGGCCAAAGTTATGGATATTATTTATACTTAAATTTTGAGAATACTAAATGACATAATATTTCAAAATACCTCACTCTTTTTATCTATACATCACACTTCCAATGCAGTCAAATCTGATTATCACACACAAAAGTACAACACTTTAAATGTACTAAGCTTCAATGTACTTGATATGACACTTTTTGAACAAAAAATGATTAATCCCTATGTCACCAATGATAAAAGCTAATGACTCACTATGGTGAATTGCATCCTGAAAGAGTACCAAATTCATTGTCACCACCCGAGGCATAAGGTTATATTCTTCAACTTTAACTTCCAAATGATTCTTCAAGGTCTGAAAGTTCTGGAAGTCTTCGTAGATTCCTTGCTCATTCATAAAGCTTCCTGTGGAGCAATCTTCAGTATTAAAACTTATCAACTATTAATAATGAATTGATTCTGTTAGTTAGACTGGTGGTAATTAATGTTCATTGCTCTTACATTATTGATCAAGCACTTTCTCACAATACAGTCAACCTTATCATTCTAGAGTTAAGAAACAACCAAAGGAGTCTTCTACTGGAATTCTATTGAAGAACGTTTTTTATTTTCTGCTACCAGTATTTCCACCAACATCCTTATGCACTATACAATGCATAAGAATAGTCAACTATTTGAAAGCGCTCGAGTTTTGGGTCTTATTTTAAGTCCAATGCATGATACATCACTCTGTTTTTATTAGCTTGAACTGCAAACTAAATCCCACTGGAAAGTTTTAAATTTCTGAACCAAACTAAAATAATCAAAACTTATGAGCAGCAGAACAGACAAATGTTTCTAATGGATCGTAGCATATTTTATATACTTTTTTAATCGCAATAACTGAGAACAGAAAATAATGGTTTTGATCATTTGTAATATCAAAGTCCTCCACTGAGTACATAGATATTACTAAGAAAAAGATGGGATTCATATATGGATGTAGTGGATTGAAAGTTTAGACCACATTCACAGTCTTGATATCAAGAGTAGTTGTTTAGTAATAACGTAGCTGCAATCTATTACATTAAATCAGAATAGTAAACTTCCAACTATATGCAGCACATACAGTCAAATAAAGGTTTTGGTAATTCAAGAATAAATCAAGCTCACCTAATTTAAAAAACAACAACAAGAGGTTTGTAGATCTAATATGTGGAAGGACAGGTGTACCAGTTTATTACAGGTGAAATCAAACACACAATATATAATGTTAAGTTGAAACCAAAAATATACACTATATTACTGGAGGAACAGAAAAAACTAGCTGCACATGCTAACTGAAGGACCACTGAAGGATAAAGATCAATAAACAATGGCATTAAACTGTATTTAAATGGAGAAACTAAGTAAAAGATGACTACATTTAGTAAAAACAAAAGGAAGATAAATACAAACTTTACTGACAATAAAATTAAACAATAGAGGATCAGTAGGCACTAGTGAAACAGAATAAACAATAACAAGACTTCACAATGAATCCTGGTTCTCTCAAAACAGCAAAATGAACCATCTTTCTTAAAAGCTGGAAGGAATCTAATGTGAAAATGTCAAAACTGCATTCCTAATACACATTATCTCTGTGAGAAAAAAGGCATCGGAACAGAAAAATATCTGTATTCTCTGTACATAGGTTCAGGTAGGGCACAATGCAACTATCTCATGAAACAGCAGATAAGCTTCTTTGATTGGTCAAGCCATATAAATCAACATTTCAGGCTGAATTTACAGACAACCTCAACTAGGTTTAGAATTTTTCAGATCATAACTTGGAAAAATTGTTCAGGTATGAAATAGACTATTGTATAGAAAAATATGTAGTATTTATGCACTTAAAAGTCACTGCTGCTATACTGATCTTTAAGGTTAAGATTTAAGGTAACCTAGATCCTTCCAATGAATTTTGAACAAAATCCATACATTAAAAAAAAAACTGTTGCCTTCAAACATATAAGTTATGTAATTAACACCAACAGTTATTCCTATCATATATTATAATAATTATGCAGTAAGATTACTTTAAAATTTTTGCCCTAGTACATTTTTAATAACAATATAGTAATTCAAAAAAATTGTAGTGTGTCACTACCTTAATATTAATTAAATATCATAATCCACCTCTATTCACTATAAAAATATACCATAATATTTGTCTACTTTCCTACCTTTGTGATCATACATTGTGTGTTTTACTTATGTCTTTTTTTTTCAATATAAATTAAGCATTACTTAATATAGCATATAAGTTTTATGATTTGTTTAATTTAAGGTCTTACACCTAGATTTAGCTGTCACATTTGTATTCCTTTCTAAAATAAATATACCAAAATGGTCAAAACTGAAAATTATCTGTACCTTATGAATATTTATAATTTATTTCAGAAAATTTTTTGAAATTGTCAAGAAAGATAATTGCTAACATACCAAATATAGGAAGTTGTTTGTTTGGACATATGTTATGATAAGTTTGTTCAAAAATAGTGCCTAGTTTCTCACTAATCAGGGACATGAACCATTCTTGATCCTGGTTATTACTTAGACGGTCTGAGAACACTCTGAAACACTCATGAATCCACAGTCGTGTCACACTTTGCCTGGTATCATGAAAATCTTTATGTGCCAGCAGCAAGCCTTGAAAAACCTAGTTAAAATATTAATAACATACAAGATGTCTTCACTTTATTTTATTTTATATGAATGTTTCAACAATCTTACTTATGGCCATACCATGTCATGAGCACAGTCAGAGTCAATCATTTGACTTAAAACATTTAGCATCATACATAAATAATTCCTACAATTAAGTAAAATGCAGAAAATAATGAAATACAATGTATGAATTTTAATTCATTTAACCATTTAAAGAATTGTGTTCTTGAAAGATTCTTTGATATACACTGGTAAATATACATTCTTGTCCTCTAAAAAATAGTCTTAATTTATAGTTTAAACTGTATGTATCTATAATATTTAATGGGCCTTATCTAACAAACCTAACTACAAATTCTAACTTTGTTTTATTCATTCACCACACATTATTTATTCTTTTTTTATAATGATAAACAGCTACTAACTTAGTTGGTAAAAATGTTTTGCATGAGACAAGTTTCATTTTAGTCATAAAATATAGTTCAAATAATAATTCAAGAACATGAACAATATTTAAGTAATTATTTTCTAGGTATAAACAAAGTATCTGGAATCTACATTATACAATCATGTTATTTCACTGAGGCTTTATTTAATTTAATTCTTCCAAATCTTAAAATAAACCAAAGTGATGTATAAATAGCACTGATACCCATCCCACTTGCTTTATGTCATCTTATATCTATTACAAACCGTGGTGTATGTCTGAGCATTCACTGTTTCCCATTTGAAAAGCTGCACTTGCAGGCAAAGCTCAATATTCACTTTTGAAATGATGGGAGAACAGACATGAATAATGTCAATACCAAATTTTATTTTGCATAAACAGGATATTCTACACTAAATTGTTAGGATTTAATCACACAATCATTCACATTTCAAAATTTGATGTAACTTAAAGAATAAAAATGTAGATTTACCATATGTTATTGTTGAGTGGCTCTTAGCATGATAAAAATGCTCAACAATTACTTTTCACAGTGGGCAGTATAAGTAGCTCAGAGCTTTGGCTCTAAGTGAACCAAGAGTACAACACAATTAACCTTTTTAAAGTCCCTGAAATAATTTAAATTGATAGAATAACTTAAACTTTTCCAGTCACTCGGGACGAGTACTTTTGCTTGTGTATTTATGAGTTGATACTATCTTATATTTGTATGCTTAGTGAGTTAATTAGACAGTTTTGTTTAAAATCCCAAGTTTTCTACCATTCAAAACTGTTACGTCTAATTAATCTTCAAAAAAACAATAAAATCTGTTATTATTTTTGAATATTATTTTCATCAATATTTGACTCTCTCTATCATTAATTTCAAATTGAAATCTGAATTTTTTAGAAACAACATGTAATATTTTCTGCAATACATCTCATGACCATCACACATTAGAAAGTCTACTTAGAACAACTGAGTAATACAATAGTCACAATATCTTCTCAGGGAAAATAATTTGCATGTTTATGTTTTTTAAACATTAAAAACTTTGATAATCAAGCTTGGAAGTCAATTACAGCTTTATATCAAACCAATCAAACATCTAAATATCTGTGTTTAACAACCTTCAAAAAAGTTGCATCAAACAGCATTTCATATTTTTCATGCAACTTAAAGTTTAAAAAAAATGTAGAAGTATAATTGCAGAAGTAATGTCTAAAGTCACTTTTACTTTTCATATATGTATTCATGTAATTGAAAAAAAAAAGTTTATTTAATTTGATCTTGCCTGTATATTTATTAAGTTGATTGGAAATTGTAATAGTTGCATATTATTGTTAATTAAATCCTAAAAAGCTTTGTTATTCTTTTATCTTGAGAATTTACAATTACCTGTAAGCTCTTTTTACCTCTGTACACATTTGATTAAAAACCGTAAATTTTGATTTATTTCTAAGTTAATCTTACCACTGATTATCAGCTTCAAAAGTTGGAAATTCTTCCTAGACCCTTCAATGTTAACTTTCATTATCTATCAAATTGAAGAGATTATAAAAATGTATATAACTGTTTTCTATGAGCCAATATTACCTTTGATATATCCCTCAAATAGAACAGGTAATGGATCTTTCCAGGGGTAGGCAGCAGGTGAGAACATACAGCTTTATAAACATCTAAAGTGGCTTCTACCATAAATTCTGCTAGGGGTTTGACATCCTCCTCAAAGTTGATAAACTTCTGGCTGATCATGGAACCAAAGATACGATGGATCTCAGCATCCTTTACAACAAAGAAAACATGGCATAATGTAATGTGATGGAAACTACAATCTTTTTTTTCTGGACTGAGAGATGTCTTAAAAATGTGTTCAGAAATAAAAACTCAATAATTTATTATGAAATACAACAAGTAAAATGAGAAAACTGTCTTATCTACAACTCCTAGTTTAATAGAACAGAACAGGTTGGTTGCTGAAATGGCAATTCATCCCAGTGATAAAATAAGAAAGTCATATATATATATATATATATATATATTTACAGTCAGTCATGGTTTGGTTACATAATTTAAACTTTCAATCACAATTATACAGACCAAAGATTGTATCACAATTACTTGAACATTAAGCCCAAAAAGTGACAGTACCTAATTCATGAAAATGTACAATTCTTTCTGTTAAAAGTTATAAGACAATTTAACTTATTATCAATACCCACTTTGAATTTTTATCAGTTTTAAAATTTCAGGATTTCTCATTAATTTGCTTATATAAGATAGTTCTTGTGCTTCTTTTAAATTTTATATAAAATAGTTAGCACAGAACTTCCAAGAAAAATAAGGAACAACATAAAATAATTGAAAAAATTGTCTCAATAATACTCATGTTTGTTGACACTTATCACTGTTATCCAACCGTCAGGGTTTCTCCTTTGTCCATCCAAGCATTAGTCTGATTTTTTCTCCCTTTCATACCCGACTGAATTGCCCTTGACGACATTTGTCTCCTGATACTCTCCACCTACGCCAATACACCCTCTATCCTAATATTGTGTATAAGCACCTCATTCAGATAATTTTATCACTTTTTTTGGGACTGATACCATCCCAGTCTCTAGCACTGGCTCTTAGTGGGGAAGAAGGGTGGGAGATTGTTAGCAGAGGTAAGTATTATTGGAAATACACTTTCAATTTAGGAAAATGTTAACTTCCAAAATATACATACCTCCACTGCCACTTCCAACTAGACTAACACACTGAGAAGGATCGTGTATGCCATACTCTATAAAAGCAACAGAACTCATCTGGGCCTGAATTATAAACATTCATCCTCACTCCCCAACCAAGTGGGCAAGGAGTCTTCCACTTGGCCCCAGAATTATGGGGAGGACATGGAACAACTGTGCTCAACCATGGACCCAAGAGATAGTGAATCTCCTTCCATGAACAATATACTGAACTGATATTCATCAAAAAGATGGACCATGCATACCCCACCCGGATAGCCAAGCATAAAATCTGAACTAGTATTATGAATAATCTCCCACGTAGCCTGGTGCCGCTCCTACTGATACCTGGGAAAAAACATCATGAACTCAAGTAGGAGGGTCCCTAACATCACCCTCTTCTCCAAGACTGGAAGTACACACTCTAACATTTTGGAGGAACAGCCTCTGTCCACCACCCCAGTGACTGGAAACCAGGAGTGGTAAGGACTCCCTAGCTCCATTAGTAGAATCTGGGCAGTAATGTGCACTGGGGAATCCAGAGCACTGTTGCTCTGGAAACAATGCAATAAGTGAATCAAGTTTCCTAATTTTTAAAAGGAAACTGACCCCAATTTATTCAATACAATGATTGGCAGGGGCAGGCAGGATCCCCTTTAACTGTACTTATGATAGTTCCTGAGTGGTGTTCCAGCATAATACAGTAATACCACCCAGTCTGCCTCTCACAGCATAACCTCTATACCGGAAGCTTGAATTTCTGGATTGCCGGGTGCACCATATTCAATCATGGCTGCCTCAACACAGAGAGCCTAAAAAAAGAAGTGGAAGAGTTGGACACACCAGAAGAAACCACAGAAGCAGAAACCGGTGTAGCCGGCAATCTGGTGTGATCAACAGGATCGGATAATGGGTTGGAACAAATCATATTTCGTACCCTAGGTAACATACGAAGTGGAGAGAAGATTGAGAGTGGTAATTCCATCCTGTCCAGATGGAAAGCATCTACTGCCAAGGCCCAAAGATAAGGTATTGGAGACCAAGTTGCCAGTAGTTGGGTGATCCAATGAGAGGCAAAGCCACCAATTAGAGTTGCAAAATGAAAGGCAATCCAACTGAACCTTGAGATGCAGCATGTATTCTCTCAGGAAAATCTGTCTGGATTGAGACAATGAACCTGCTATAAAAGACAAGATTAGTCCCAAGAAATGAGGTCCAAAATTCGAAAATAACGCACCCTAGACCACATGCCTTCTTGATGAGAAACATAAGACACCACTGCGGAATAGTACAGTGAAGCCTGATGATTTACCCCTTAACCCTAGCTCTATGGGTCTTCCTATGGTCATGGGACAAAGGCCATGTCATTGCATTTTTTGACTCGCTTTCAAAATTTTATTGAACTATTATTTTATGAATTTATGTCAATAAGTATGTTATGAAACTGTAGATTATAATTAAACTTTTAGTATTATATATTATTTAATTTCTTAATTTAAAAGTAAATATTAAAAAACACACCTAAATATCAATTTTTGTATGTCATGTGGTATGTGGAATGCAGCACTGGTTCAAATTAGATGTTTCTGATGTTAGAATACAAAGTCTATAGTTTCATACAAACTAGGAACTCCAATTACCGATATTGACAAGCTAGAAAATAAAATAAGAACCTTCTATCTTTTCTATTTGCTGAGATATCACTAATGTACTGAATCAAACACAGTGGCCCCACTCACCTCTTTCTATTTTTGAACAATCCCTTATATACACGCTCTTCTGTTTACGACAATAAATAACCAATTAAAAGCTCAGAACATCCCCGAGCAGCTTTCTCAGCCATTTTCAAGTATCACAACATCATCTCATTTTTTGGATACAAATCTTCATACGGGTGAGTCTTTAGTCTGCTTGAAATTTCATATTTTTTTAGACCCAAATACATCTTAGTTACTAGGTTAATAAATTTTAATGGAATCCTGTGGTATCCATATAGTAATTTATGATTTATTTATTTATTATTTCGTTTCACATCCTCTACGTGTGAAATTTTATAAGGTTTGGCAACCTACAACAAGCAGCAAATGAGTACAACGGTTGTAACAAGAAGAGATAATTGTTTACTTTACTACTTTAGTTATGCTTCAATGTTTTAAGAAAAATAAGTTCAAGAACTTATTTGTAAATATTAATAATGTCAAATCAAACCAACCTGTACAGAGATACAGTAGTGCAAATAACAGATAAAATATAAAGTTTAAAAAAAAACTAGAATTATCTAGAGGTTGTAAAGATTTTGCACATGAAATTTGAAAATGTTCTAATGCATAAAAGTATTTTTAATCTTAAATCTAAATTATTTATATGTCGGATAATCAACATTCAGAAATATAAAATTTTATGAGAAAATCTTTAATTTCAAAATCTTAATACTTAATTTAAAAACCTAATATTTGGTATACGAAAGCCTTGAAATGTTTACCAAGAACTTGCAAAATTTTGTAAAGGTATGCATACATTATCAAAAATCACAGTATAATTACTCTCATGGATACTTTTGTGGTTATGAGCTGGGTGGATTCCACCATACCTGTAATAAAAGGATTAAGAAGCCCAGAACATGAGACCTTGCCTGTTGAAGAGCAAGAAGGATGAAAACATTGTGTAGGGAATCCTTGTCATCTGTGCATACTTTGGTATTCCTGACTGTTGGTATAGGTACCCTCTCCCTGAAGCAAAGCATTCGTGAAGATAATGATAACTCTGAACAAAGTGGCAGTAGAAGAATCCAATTTGTAATAGCATCTCGAATTAACCTCTCAAGATCGAAGAATGATCCTGACAAACGAAATTGGAGAAACCAGAAAATAGATGTCTACAATCCCTGGTCGCTTCACTACCAATATAATGATTGCTTGTGTTCTTGTCCCAAAGGCACAAGGGAGTCAAGTGATGCCCACATTCCCAGAAGAGACATAACCATCCATAGTGGGAGCAGGAGAGGTGAGTAAGAGTGTGGCATCCTATTCTATAGCATTGAGCAGGATGGGAGACAGCTGAGCCTAACAGAGAGATGAGAAGAAAAATAAAAAATATCCAGACTGATGACACATTGAATTGGAGCAAGAACAGAAGTCACAGTCCCCAACAAGAAGCCTGTCTGGGTTGTATCTGAAAGTAGAAGCAGAATGTGATGGTTTAACAATTGGCAAGATGTTGCAAACAGTAACCAGTCATCCATGGTATGGTGTTTGCACAGTACGATGGAATGAAGGGGACGAGAAAACTCATATGATACAGCAGAACCTATGTTAAGCCTAAGCATGACTGAAGGAAAAAACTCTGAACTGAGTATCAGACCCTTCTGCACAACAAATGCCAATTGAGGAATGATTAAGTTGGGAATCTAGCAGAATCTAGGCATTGATATAGACAAGGAAGATTAATGAATAGACACCAATCTCCTGTCTTCATAGGCCCAACAACTAACAGGAATGAAAACTCTGAAGAAATAGCTCAACTCTCTTACTATCCCCAGACCAACCAGACTCAGAAAACCCTAGAACTACGTTCCAAGTCCCAATGAACTGTGGAAGATGGAAATCCTACAGGTTGGGTGGATAATAGTGGGGAAGATGTGAACTGAATGACCAATTGTGACCCAAGAACCTGCAGAGCTTCTGAAATGATGGTTAAGATTACCACATGTCCAGAAAGTCTTGGAACCAAGGCCCCACAGCTCCTGAAGGTATACAATAATCACTGACACTGCTGGCAATCTGACTATGCAATGGAAACCTTAGATATGGACAGAATATTTTGTGAGTACCAATGTAATGAGGAACTGATGTCGTGGTTTGGTTTGTTATGAATTTTGTGCAAAGCTACACAAGGGCTATCTGTGCTAGCCATCCCTAATTTAGCAGTGTAAGACTAGAGGAAAGGCAGCTAGTCATCACCACCCATCGCCAATTCTTGGGCTACTCTTTTACCAACGAATAGTGGGATGGACAGCCACATTATAATGCCCCCAAAGCTGAGAGGGCGAGCATATTTGGTGTGACCCCACGACCCACAGGTTGCAAGTCGAGCACCCTAACCACCTGGCTATGCTGGGCCCTGATGTTGGGGATCGGAACTCATGAACAAGGGTGAAACTATGACCCCTGTAGGAGCTGACGAAAATCGAGACTTCAACAACAGCCGTGAGGAATGTAGAAGCTGAAAATTGACCCAACAAGCATGCTAACAATGGACCCAGCTCTTCCTCAAGGAACTGGCGATCCATGAGAGTTTTCTAACTGAAAAAAAAAACAAAATGTTGAAGTTCAATTGTAACTTCATAGATTTACCCCATCCCATTAGGAGGACATAGACCTATATAAGTGAAGTATAAACTCCACCTTAGAACCCCAAAATTCATAGAGCAGATATTATTTAAGAGTCGGAAAAGTGCCTCCACCCGGTGGTGGTAGGTGAAATCACGAAGTTCCTACAACGTGTTGCATAAGACCTAACTGTCCCTTCTCATAACTAAGAAGTAAACCTTCCAGCTTGAACCACAATTTCCGTGTATGGAGAAAAACAAAACAAAAAATTCGCCCCCCAGACCTTTCAGTTATCAGTTAAGTCACAGGCTCTAAAACAATCGGGAAAAAACCCAAAACATCACACGCTCAAAGAACCAAGAGAATAAAAACAAATCAAAGGCAGCTTATCCCAAAGTGGCCTCCATTTCGTTTTTCATAGGTTAGTTAAAGACTGTGGTAAAGTAAGTTGTTCTGTTGGAGCAAAGCAACTGCAGGCCACCTGCCACGTCCATCCAAGGGAATCAAACCCCAGTGCTACAGGCCTGTAAATCTACTACTGACCCACAGGGGGCTGAAAGTACAATAGACTAAAAAAGGCACAGAAAAACGAGAATCTAAAGTCTCTCCAAAGTGCTGAGGACTGCCCTCAAATGCTTCCTCAGAGCCTCCTGGAAGACTACCACAGATCTGAATATAAGCCTCCATCTCACTATGATTAAGACCACTGACATTTTCAATCAAGACTACCAGCTCCCAGTTGTGCAACACTCGGTATCAGATGTCAGAGGTGGGAGAGGCTTGCCATTATAGGAAGAAAGAATAAAAAAAAATTTTTTTTCTTCATTTTAAATTACTATTACAAAATCAACTAGATAACACAATAATGTTCAAAATATCGCCAAACAATCTGAATACTTTGAAATCAGTTACTGACACTTTGTTGAAAAAAAGTGATAAAATTATCTGAATGAATTGCTTATATACAGTACCAGGATAGAGGGCACATTGACGTAGGTGGAGAGTATCACGAAACAAATATCACCAAGAGCAATTATGTGGGGAACAAAAGACTGGAGCATGTGATAAAAACTCAGACTAATGCTTAGATGGGCAAAGAAGAAACCCTGGCAATCGAGTAATAGCTGGAAGTAAGTATATTTTGGAATAATATTCTCTTAGCTTATTTTCTTTATCAGAGTTTGTGTGGATGTGTAATTCCAATTCCATAGACAAGTGCTCCATCAAACAGGAGCAAGTGTTAAACCATTAATGTTAATAAGGCACTTCTTAACAATGCAAACTACCAAATTCTTCTACTCTCATAAACATTTCTAGCTTCTATAAAATTAAGTTATGTTTAAAATCCCTAAGATGTTAATAAATGTATTATTATTATTAATAAATCACATATTTCCCATAATCTTATGATATTTTAGCATATCAAATAGTGGTTCAATACCTGTGGAAAAGACATACTGATGAGGTTGAAGTGGCTTTGCAAGCGCTGAGAAATCGTGTTTCTTCCACCTCCAGGAGAACCCATAGCAGCAAGAAGAAACATATTCTAAAATAAAAAATATTAATGTTTTATTGGTATTTACAAAAATAATTTATGGTATAAAATATGTGAAAATTGGATTATTAGAAAGAAATATAAAAGTTTTATTATTAAAATATTTTGTAAAATACCCACTTTTAACCTATACAATCAATTTAGTACTGGCCTACCATCATCACAGGCCACATTTAATACCCTGTAAGACAATCCAATAACTTGCAGTTCTTTTTGAATAAAAATTTACATATATGTTAGTGTGTGTACAGTTTTATTACAAAACTGTAAAATTTAGTGCTCTTGCTAAATTCCTATTTTGCAAAAAAAAATATAATAATTTCAGCACTAACAAACATATTCTTTGTGCTATATTGTAGAGTAACCAATATTACGTTACACAAAAGTTTAATATACACGATTTATGAATATTTTTTATCATTTGAAGTTGTTTTTTTTTTGAGAAGGCTACAATATAAAAGACTCATAAATCTTTAATTAAGAAAATATTCCTGAAACATTAAAAAGATTCTTCCCAGAACTTTTAAGGGAGTTATTTTTTGTTAAACATAAAAGTTATTTTAATTTATATATATTATAAAAGATATACTAAAACAAAGCAGTATATGAACCTATTTTTACAATAAGCTGTAATAATTCTTACCTGAATATATTTTACAGTTTGCTTCCTTCTATCATACCAAAATCTATAGTCTAACCACATGCGAATAAGCTCAAGTGGAGGTTGAGATCCAAACACATCTTTATGTGGCAGATTAAGATCGTCCATGAATGTCATTAATTTCTTACCACCAATAGGGATATAAGTTTCCTTTGTGCGTTTCTCAAGTTTGCTTTCAATTATTTCCTGAACATTATGGGATGATGTCTGATCATACAAAACATATACCAATTAGTGTAAATGAAAATATTTTGAAGAAGTGAAAACTGTGACTTAGCAAATTTTATTCTACAAATCTGATGAACTGAGAGAGAGCCTTGTGTTATATTAGTAACAATTAATATATTATTTGTATTTCAATATCAAAGCAAATATATTTTTTACAAAAATGATTATTAGTAACACTTATTTCAAATCTTTATTTATAGAAACAGGTCACTTATAAAACCATATCAACTAGAATGGAATTGTCTTAGAACAAAAAAAAACCTATATGGACTAGAGAAAAACAATAGAATCAAATAAAACAAATATGTGTACAGTGCAACTACTGGTTAACATGCATGTGTATTTATCATATGCAACTAACACCTTATCTCAATCTCTTATAGCATATATTTCATATTTCCAAAATATATACTTTTTTTTAAAGTTTTAATTCAGAGCATGCTACATCCAGCTGATGTTGTGTGTTAATTCAACCCTGTTACTATCTATAGCATGATTCAAAGTGTCACTTTCTCTAACATGATTCAGTCAAAAAGTTATCTACAGTATAATGGGATATTTGTATTGTACCCAAGATTAGTTGTATGCATGTGTGTGTGTGTGTGTGTGTGTGTGTGTGTGTGTGTGAGAGACTACTCTAACTGCAATACAGAGCAAAAATACTTCAAAATTTCTGTTTATAACTTGTCAGTTCTGGAGAAATTACATTGTGAGAGTGGTTAATTTTGGCTTCTTTAGAGAAATTAGTTTCTGTTTTCAAAGAGGGCAAAATCTAGAATGCTGTGTTTATGTCTAGGAATATCTTGACTGTCCATTGACATATTTTAATCTCATATTGTTATTATCAAACAAATATACCACATTTTTTTCTCAAAAGTTATAATTTTCCTACATTAAAAATGTATTTCTGATAGATACCTCTTCTCACATAACAGCTTTTCTCATTCAGTGCTGTCCTCTCTATATGTGCACTTTTCGCTTGCCACTAGCCTTGATACTCCAAGATACCCTACATATTTAGAAGTAAACATGCAACAACCCTCCACCAATAAGAGAGCAAAACATTCTTCTGATGCAGTTGACTCCTTCTATACTGCAGAGCCCAATCTTCACTTTGAGATTAGGCAGAAAAGAAGCACCGAAAGTGGGGAGGATGGGTGTAAAGTGTGTGAGAAGGTAAGCATTTATCAGTAATAAATTTTCAGTGCAGGAATATTATAACATCCAATACGATACCTTACCTCCACTCACATAACAGCTAGAATCCCACAATGAACTGGTGGAGGGACATATGCAAAAGTTACCCAGATGAGCATCCTTCAGAAGGCATCTGAAGAGGGCCTATGGAGTGGGAAACCTTAACGGAGAGAGAGACACACCTGTGGGAGAATGCACCAGATCTGTACCAGGTATACTCTTTGCTTGTAGAGAAGATATGTCAACAAAGATAGGCAAAAAAGATACACATCCAATAGGTAGGTGGATGCACCAGATGGTATAGAGTGGCTAGGATGCATCAGACCATAACCAGTGGGTTAACTCCAGTCCAAAACCAGGCAACATCGAGTATTGCAGTAGGAGGAGGGTCCCAACTGGTTTCATCTCAAGCCCAGGAATTGGAAAGAAAATTTAAATTCCATTCCAAAATCTCAAGTAGTGCATATATGTGCAGACCTAATACACAATTAACACCAGGCTACCCATGAACCCAGCATCGAGGTGATGGTAGGAAGGAAGAATGCAATGTGGTGAGTCAACTCCTGTCCTAAACTTGATGGCATTGGGAACTTATAATTCAATCTATGGTAGGAGGAGGGTCCTTACAAGTCATGTGTGAGGACTTATGGTAGCTGATTCTGCTCCAATTCAACACCTGACCACCTGGGATCCAACATCCAGGCAGCAGTAGGATGAGGGATCCCATCTGGAGGGGTAAACTGTACGTGGTGGATTCATCTAGTCCAAAACCAGGTGGCATCAGGAATTATACATCCAGTCCATGGTAGGAGGAGAGTACACACCATCTACACTGACAGAATACTACCATCCTACTCTCAACTGAGTGGAATTGGACACACTCAGGAGGTTGCCTTCATGGTCCATCACCCCAGCAACTAGGAGCTGGTAAGTGGCAAGGACTCCAGTACTCCACATGAATATGGGGAGTCTAGAGAAATGCAACACACGAGAAACTGCAAGAGGTAGCCACAAAACTCTATTTTGAAAACCAGGCTGGTCCCAATCTATTCAACCAGGATTAGAAGGTTGGGCAGCTATCCCATAACTGCTTTAATCATGATAGTCCAGCAGTTGGTACATTCTGGGACACACCTTATTTACAAAGTGAAACACCATGAGGAAATCTCTAGCAGTCTTGCAAAACATTCTATCTCAACAGTGAGTGTTATAGACCAATTTATGGATTAGTGAAAAGAGTGAAATTCAATATGTAAAATGGGTCATTGTAGTGGAAATAAAGAAATAGAAAAAATACTCACACACTCACTGAGTTGTGTAGAATGGCAACTGGTGGTAATCGGTATTTAAAGGAGGAGGAGCAGATAATGAATGATAAAGGTTCGTGGTATGGTCCACATGCTAGTCTGGATGAACACTCTCAATGGATGATGAAAGTGTACAGCCAAAGAGAAGGTGAAATGACAGATCTGATGGGAGAATACTTGGAAAATATAACGATAGGAATCAGGAGACAAGGAAGAATATGCCAACCAAATAAGTTGACAATTCCAAACTGGAAGGTTCACAGGGGAAATTTCTCAAGTAGAAGAAGAGTTCCAATGGAGAAACAGACAAGAATGGGAACCAAAGAAGAAAGCTAGCTGTACAGACAACATAACACTGGAGATCACGACCAAGACAGAGAAGATGATCTAGAATGGAGAGAAATAGGTGAGAATGTGATGTTCCCTTCACAAGTTGTATACAGCTTTGAAAAACACAAAAAAAAACAACTACTAACCGGTTACAGAAGAACATAGGCACAGTGGTAATGGATACATGAAATGTTGAGGACAAAGATATCTGACCAATGATGATTACAGGCAAAAAGAAGGAAAAGATAGGTTTTCAAGGACAAGTGGTATAAGGGACTGGTAGCCAAAAAGGTTAGATATAGGCATGGAGAACCACATTAAGGTCTCAATCTGGAAGGGGTGTGAGACGAGATGAACAAAGGAGATGAAAGGAACTAGACAAGAGGGAGGGAAAACTCTACAGAAAAGGGTAAAACAAAGGGAAGTGGATAAGGCTGTCCAACAGCCAGCAATGGTAGACATAGACAAACTATAGTTGAACAGACAGGTAAACAATCCTGAAACATGAGGTGTTGTTGTTCCAGTTGAGCCACCAAGCTAGATAATCATATAGTGAGGGAGGGAGAAGGATAACAAAGTCTAGGGGATCATGAGCAAGATTCCGTTGATCATGCAACATGAACTGAAGAACTTGCATGTGAGCACAACTGAAGGGAATTAGGATTTCGAAGGAAGCCAAACTTTCCAAAAGAGATAGAACCTTGTGAGCAGTGAGAGAAGAGGAGGATTGAGCTTTGAGAACCAAGAGCTCCATTAATTTCAACTAGCAAGTAGAAGGCTGGGCCAGACTAAGATAGGAGTAGAATAACACTCCTAAAGGGAGGAGGTATTGGGTTGGAATGGGAAAAAGACTTCTCCAACTTGACCAACCAACTTACAATGAGTATGAGTGTAGACCCTGATAAACAAGGTGGGCAAAGGCCCTGACCACTCAACAAAATATGTTGGGTGCAGAAGTTAGACTAGAAGGTACACTGTGGATTTAATATACTGGACAAAACAAAGACAATAGCTGGAAGCTGAGGAAATAGAGATAGGAAGGCAAGCATCTGTGATGTCTAACAGTGGCATCCAAAGACCTGGAGTAAAAACCCACCGAAGAGTGAGGAAAGACTCCATGGTGAAAACAAGAAAGGTCGAAAAATTGGTTGAGACTGGAGAGATCAATGACAGAATGCCAGACCCTGGACTAACTGAGAAGTATGAACAACTGGGAAAAAACTCTGGAGAAGAGTGAGTGACAGGTATGATAGCATCCTTGTCAAAATGATCCTGAACCACTTCGAATAGTTGCTGGCAAGAAATAGGATCCCAAGGAAGAGGGAAGGGAATGGAATGTTGGGTTCAAAAACTGAAAGCAGAGTCCTTCAGAGAACACCTGAAGCACCCAAGGATCGATGGTAATAGTGCTCCATAGGTGAACAAACCCAGCCAAACATGCCCAAACAGTATCAGAACAAAAAAGATAGTCATCCATGGAAAACAGGAGGGAACAAGTATCCACTGAAAACCCTTCATGAGTATGATGGATAACCTCAGATTGAGGAAGAGATAATGCAGGAGGGTTGTGAGGCCCAATTGAACATGAAAAAATAGGACCTGGTAAAATTCAACATAATATGAGGGCCAGATCCTCCAGTGGAATCAAAGACTCGAAGTTCTGCAAGTCTAGAAAAGGGAAGTCCTACTGATGATATACCAATGCATAGGAATACAAGGATCGAGGGGGACAAGGATGCTGACCCCAGATCATAATTGTGCTTTAAACTAATCAACATGAACCCTGATATCTGGAAAGAGTGAGAAAACAAGACAATCCAAGGAAGAGGTGACTTGCAGGAGGGAAGGAGGAAATTGTGTTCAGTGGCAACAGTAACAACAGAAGTTGTTGTAATGAAAGTGTGAATTCATAATTCAGAAATTAGAGTGGGACATTTCAAATCAATCTACAAATTATCAAGAAAGTGTAGGGAAAAAAAATCCAGGCAAACATGAGCAAAAATGAGAGATGTTTGCAACCAAGTATGCCAAATCGAGAAGTGAAGGTTTGGCTCTACAGTATAGAGGGAGTTAGCTTTGCCAGGAAAGAGTGTTGCACTCCTATTGGTGGAGGATTGTATGCTTATTTGTATGCTATAGCACAGCTGTACCATGTGTAAAACACGTGTGAGTAAGTAGGAGTATCAAGGCTAGTAGCAAGTGAAAATTGTACATGTAGAGGGCAGCACTGAATGAGAAAAGCTATTATGTAAGAAGAAGTAGGTATTTTATCAGAATAATATTTAGTAACATTTATACCAAAGTTATAGAAAAAGGGTACTTAAAAACATAAGAACAACAATGGGAATGTTTTAAAACATAAAATGCACTGTTTGATCTACTGTCATTCTCAGCACTACATGTACTAGTGGCAAACCCAAAACAACTCCAGTCAAGCTGAAAGATACAAGTGTGAGTGTAGAAAAATGCAGATGATATGTAAACACTGGTTATCTGATTAGTCTTACCACCTTGTGACAAACAAAGAAAAAATACAAATACTAAATGTGCAGCAAACATAAAACACATTGGCATATGTTACACAGCTGAGGCTGTTAGGAAGAGGCATTGTCAATAACTAAACTGTTACCACAAGTCACAAGCTCTTCTGGATATGTTCTTACATGGTTCAAAAAGGTGGAGGTACTTTGCAAAGTTTCCACTGAAATACTAAGAAAGCCTTGGACTACTTTATCAAGCAATTCAAATACTGTCCTAGTTAGGCTGAAACTGCCTGTACCAACAGTTAATACAGTTGACTGATTTGCAGTTGGCATGGCTATGAAATTGATAGCTGAAAGAGTTTGAATTGTTACTATCTGAACTGTCAAATGGAATTGTATAATATTTCATGAGAGCCACTATATCACAATAATAGGTGGCATACCATGGGAAACACTTAATTCTGACTTTACATGAGATTCATCAGTGTGTTATACAGTCAGTGAGTTGACAGAGAAAACATAGACAGGGAAGAAAGAAGAACAGAAAGAGATTATGTCTTCCACAACAGCATAGCTATGGATTACAAATTATTTCCTTTTCTTGCTACTCTTTCTCATTGTTTTCATAAAAAGCAATGGTTGGATGATTTTAAACTGCTACATTATCAGAACTATGTAGGTGACATTGTTACTACTTTCAAGGATTCAAATTACATTTATCAATTTTTGATGTATTTAAATAACAGAATAAATTCAGTATTCGACATCACCAGAACCATCAAATATAATTTTTGATTCATTATTTCATAATAGTGATGGTAACATTGACTGTGAAGTTTAAAATAAAAACTTTACTTGCTATAATTTTACTTTTACAAGCTATATAAAATTGTGTGCAAGGAAACTGTTAACATTTTAATTCATTCTACACATAAAATCTCAATTACTTATGAATTTTTGAATAAAGAGTTTGAAAACATCAAGAGATTCTTATGCAAAAAAGGTTTTCATATGTATTTGACTGAAAGAATAATTTATGACTACTTGGACACAAACCATTAATATATGAAATGATTATAATTTTACCATATATTGGTAAATATTTTTGTATGTGAAAAACAACACAAAAAAAGATAAGCAACTGAGATGTATTTTGAAATAAACATGTTGCCTGTAGTACTTCTTTAGATCTAAATATTATATATTTCTTCATTGAAAACATCAAATGTACCTTTATCAATTTACTTGTCCTTACATTGTAACTGTTATTTCTGCTATAAAGAAGTACATATTAACAATATTTATTTACTTTTTTTTTATTCTTTTCAAAACTTCTAGTGTGTTAAAGTACTTATTTTGCATTGGTAGTGTAGGGTGCGTATACCTATAGATGGAGGTATCATACGATGACCAAACTAGCTAAGCTAGCACAGAGCAATTAAAGCAAGCATTATTCTAACCAAAATCTGTGTTTTACGCATATTTGTGTTTTAAACATTAATAAAATCACATTACATAAAATACACTATAAAACAAGTGAATGACTTGCATAAAAAAAATACCACGTATTGTGCATGGAATGTTTGTTTCACACTAGCTTTACATCCAACTAAATCTTAAATCTTCTTGTTCTGTGGGGGGTGGTTTACCCATATACTATCATTCCTCTAAGCAAAAAATACCATACACTCTAGGTATTTTCTTTAGTCTCAGTTAACATGGTTAAAATATATTGTGTATGTAACTATGTCTATCTTTTGAGTAAACTAAGTGTACAATTATAGAGTATTACACAGCAAGGCTAAATTAAAGGCTATTTATGTGAACTACAATTAATCATCCTTAACTGATATGTTAAATCTTTAAAAAGTACATTCACATACCTGAGCAGACATGTTTATATTTAATACACTGAAAGAAGAGTTATCAAGTTCACTTAGTACGCAGCCAGCTACCAAACTTTTTCCAGTCCCAACTGGTCCAACAATCAATACAGGATGTCCATTATGGATTAGATTACGAATTAAAAACTGGTATCTCACAGTGTCAACTGTTGGCACTACCATTTTGTAGAAAGGCACACTATAATAAAGAAAAAGTTAGGTAAGTGTTTTTCAACAGGACATGAGTTAAGAAATAGATAAGAGTTGGAAAATCATGTTAAAAGAGCTTATGGTTATAAATTAAATATATAACTAAATATTTGGCAAAGAAACAAATGTGATATTGTGCCATTTTCAAGAAGAATAAAATGTATTACTAACAGTTATTTTTAAGTTTGAATAACAGTAACTTCTTATTAAAACTAATATAAAAGAGCTTAAAAATAATGGCTAACTACTATAAATATCTGAATGCCCTTCAAGGTTATATGCAATATTAAGTTAAAACTAGCTTTTCAGTTAATTTAAATTTCTCTGTTTGTGTGTAAAGTGTGAGCCACATGTTTATACATGTTTATCATGCTATATTTTTTAAAGGTCTTTGAAAATCTTTAAAATTACCAAACCATATTCACATACAGTAAAAATGTAAAAAATGAGTAAACAAATGTCTTGATGTACACTGTATCAGTATATTTAGTGAAGTTTACAATGAGGACCACAGATGTAAGATAGTACAAAATTTAGGTTGATCCACATTCAAAAGTTAATGATTTTAAATAAGGATAAGTTTCTAACTTGAAACGAGATAAAGGTTAAACGTTTGTGATAAAAATCATTCTCAAATACATATGTCTTTCACTAAATTCTTCTTAATTAGTCCATTAAGCATTTCAAATCAGATCTGAATTGATAGTTTACATATAACTGATTTGAAACCCATAATGGACTACTTTAAAGGGAATGTAAAAAAACACACATGCAAGGTATAAGAATATTTTTACTATAAATATTAGACTCATTATTTCTACTGTTTCACTACCTTGCCAGCTTTTAGTATAAAACATTATACTATAGATAAAAGTTTATTTGTTCTGAAACTAAACATAAAAACAAAGCTGCAAGTTAAACAATACTTGGGGTTATATTTCCACTGATCCTTTAGTCTGTCTTGCCACAGTACCCAGGTAGAGTGTTGAATATCTACATAGTACTCATATACAGTGTCCTGGTTAGGAAATGATCCTTCTACTTCACGCATACAGGAATCTATTTTTTTACGCCCTTCCTCATCTACTGTCCCACACACAGTCCACAGTAAACAAAACAAGAAGAGCAGCTTTAATGTTGCACTGAATTGGTTACTGGAAGACTGAAACTGTGTATGAAAAATAAAATGGGTTCATCCAATTGAAAGTAAGTCCATTTTTTGATTCATTACTAGAATGTTTAAAATTCAAATATTTCAAACTGTATCACTTATCGACACTGTACAAATAAGTTAAAAAATAACTGGAATTTGTCATATTTAACTATAACTGGCCACCTATTATGCCAACTATCCATCTTCAGTTCATTTATATGCATATTGTTCATCTGATGATTTATCATGTGATCTAAAATACAAATAATTGATCATTCAGCCTAGAATTGTAATCACACACTTGTTATAGCATTAGGTAACTGTAGATTTTGGTATTTGGTGATATTTCACTTTGATATGGAATGTGGTCATCATGAACAGCAAAGTCAGCCTGACACCAATGCTTCAAGAAGCTATTATCTAATGCCACTGCTGAAAAGTTTTGAACGTGCTACAAGCCTTGAAAAAAACTCCCACTCCTATATGTATTAATGAGCATATCACATAAAGACCAGTGTTGTGAAGTTTAATTCTAACTGTCTGTATATTGATAGTGCATTTATCTGCAGTTGCAAAAATCTGATCCAATCTTACAGCAGGTACCCTAAGATTACAGGAAATCAGAGTCAATAGATAGCAGTTGTGTGTTTGCATTGTGGATGATGGTGTACACAACTGCATTTTGTGTGAAATTTTGTCAGTCTCATTCTTCATAGCCCAATTGTTGCACCCTTCAGGAAACACACCCACATACAAGAACTGCAAACCTCCCATTTTTGGGAGTCCAGACTTCCCTACTTTGCCAGAAGTCCTTGAGATACAACATTTCTAAATTTTGTACATTAGTAACATAAGAGATGTTTAGACTCCAAGCCATAACTGTGAAAATGAATACTAACAGATTCTGTTTGCAATGAATACTAAGAAATAAATCTTCAACTTTAACATTAAGCTCAGCTTCACCTATGACATTGCAACTAAAACAAATTAATAAGAGATTATGTTAACTTTATAAAATATCTTATAGTTCATTGTTTTTATTAAGCATGTTTCACCATTTATAGGAAAAACTTTTGTGAAGCTTAAGTGTCATTTTAAAGATAAAAGCAAAGAAATCAAATTTTTTCAGTCTCTTTTTAATAAAAAATCTCTAAGTTAACCAGACCACATACAGTATTTTGCCTCTGAGAGGCATATATCTGGTACTTCTTCAACTCTCTTGAAAGTTTTATGAAATATGAACTGTTGCATGAAGTATCCAATGGTTTATCAACCTCAAAACTTAAAAGAACTGGAGATCCAATGATTTTCTTTTTTTTGGTAGATGGAGACATATTTTACTAAACGTTGCCTGAGGTCATGGTGTTATTGCAATAAAATATATAAATAACCATTACAAAACTAGTAATCATCAAGACAGCCAGCTGATCTTCTGTCAGAGTTGCACATATCTTGGATCACAGATATCGGGTGCAGTTTCAAAGCTTATTTGCAAGTGTAAGGTAACAAAATGCTCAACATGCTACTAATGCAGCAGATGTGAATGCAATCATGATGAGATACCAGTTGCAGAGAAAGCAACCCTGTAATACAGGCCAAAAAAGAATTTCTATTGGTGCTAATACTAATGCTAATGACCATAGAGAAGCACATATAACTAAAGACCAATTATGTTCACAGAACTGTCAGAAGATGAAGACAGTCATGCCTAGAAAAGTGATAGTGGTAAACTTTGGGAAGATAAAAAATAATATGATTATTATATCCACAGAAACAACCACAAATAAAAGACTTCTCGGACCAAGCACTATAGATCACATATCTTGCATGGACCATACTTTATTACCAAAAATTACACAATTGGTTCAGTTGACTAAGAAATTCATTCTTAATGAGTACTTAATGATTATTATAGATTACTATAGTTTTGGACCAGTTTTGACTATTATATTTTGAAAGATACATACATTTTTTCAGCTTAAGGATCTTAAGCTTGGAACAAACTAAAACTAGCTTCATGAGTCTAAATGGAAACTGTATCAATTTAAACCTTTCACATTGGTTAGGTCAAAGAGCATATGTCACAGCCTTTTACAGAGTTACAACTAAAATTTAATTGAACTACTTTATTATCAATGTAGAGTTGTAATCAAATAAACTTGACACCAAAACATTGTTAATAAACTGTATCAATTTAACCATTTCACAGTGGGTAGATCAAAGTGTGCATGTCACAACCTTTTACAGTTACAATTGAAACTTAAGTTATTGTATTATCAATGTATACAAATAAAATTGGCATCAAAACATAATATATTTTATTATTATATAATTTTTAGTTTTAATTTTATAAAGCAATATTTTAAAAAATCATTAATCTCCCCTAGTATGAGAATTCTCTAATTTATTTACTACCTGTCTGAAAAGTATGGAATTTAACGTAAATTTCTTATTTTAATATAAATATTACTCAGGGAAAGCATAACTTTTATAGCCTTCAATTGCATTTGTTTACAGAGTTATTAACTAGAAAATCATATCCACTTGCCATGCCCACTTTTCACATACTCTGTTTCACAAATTGCCAATAGTTCTCTCTGAAGCTTTACACTATATAATTTATAACCAATAGAAAGCCTAAGTTTTAATCCATCAAATGATGCATTATATTATTTTTTTTCTATACAGGGCATTGTCTATTTCATCATTCCGTTTCAAAGTTTTTGTCATGGGAATCACATTAATAAGTTTAGCTGAATCTTTAAAGGCTTTTATCACATAGCTAGAAAGTCAGAAAAGTTATAATTTTCTTACACTTAAAAAAATTAAAAAAAGATACTTACCTCCTTTCACACAATAGCTTTTTTTGATCTTCCACTGCCTTCTAACGCATTGAAAATAAATTATTTTCACTCGACGCATTAGCCTTTATACTCCATAAGTTCAAGCTGCTTATTTAGCATTCATAGAGTATATGACTACCCTCCAACGACAGGAGCATGACACACTCTCCTAGAGCAGCTGGCTCCCTCTGTACCACTTTATGTGAACCTCACTTTCGAGATTACGCCCAGAAGAAATAGAAGAACACCAGACATGGGGAGGAAAGATGGCAAGTGTGTCAGGAAAAGTATCTTTCGGAAATTTATTTTCAGTGTAAGTGAATTATAACTTCCGATACGCTGAAAACAATGTATCAGGTGTAAATAATCAACATGAGTCCCACTCCATCCTCAATCATACAAACTTGACCAGAAACAAAACAACTCTGGTAAGATAAGCATCACAAGCAGTATAAAGAAACAAAGGTCACAGATAAGTACTCCAAACCCACACGAAAAAAGGGAAAGCCAATGGCCAATCCACGTAATTATGAAGATGGAGGCATTCAATGAGACATTGCTAGGTATCTACTCAACCCCAACTGTACAGATGAGGTTCTGTGTCCCATCCTCAGTATTATGAGGAGGAAAACCTCACGCAAGATCAAAACCAGTATATACAGTGTATGGTGGCTAGGGCAAGCAGACCATTAGTAACATATACACCAACCCCTCCTGTCAGCAAACAGAGCATTATACTACAATCAACTGGAATTATGATGACAAAATAAGCAAATGGCATCTGCTGGACAAACTTCCAAATTAACTGAAAGAGACAGGAAGTAAAACAAACTAAACCCAGACTAACAGAGCTGTGTCTAAGCCTCAACTCAACCATAAGAACAGGGAAGAAACATCATGTCCCTGGCATTATGAGGAGGAACCATTATGTTCAACCACAGGAACATGGCGTTACATGTCTAGCAATTGGTATTACAAGATGGAAGAAGTCACCCAAGCTCAACCATAGGAGCAGGGAAATGAAACATCCTACAATCAGAATTAGAGAGAAGGGATCATCTACCAGTCTCTACCCTATGAACAGGGTGCTATCTATTAGAAGCTGGTATTATTAGGAGGATCCAGCATTGGTTGGTACAGCTCCCATCAACATCAGGACACCTGGAATTAAATCATCAGTGTGTAGAAGGAAAAGAAAAGAGGATTCCCAGCTTCGCCCTCTTCTCAACATAGTGATGTGACATGTAATGTTAAGATGTGTGTCCTACACTCATGAGAAAGCCTGCATGATCCATCACCCCAATGGCTAGGAACTAGGAAGGACTCCCAAACTCAAGGAAAGGAGGGGTAAGGGGCATTGGAGAGTCCAGAGGAACATCACACCAAGAAAATTATAATGGGTGACTGTAAAATCCAATTTTGAAGAGCAGACCACTCCTGATTTATTCAATCGAAGAAGCAGCAGAGATGGGCAGCAATCCCCTTCTGCTTTACTCATGTCAGTTCATGAGTGACGGTCCACCAACTACGTATCAGAATTCAACATATAGAGAAATATATATATACACAACTAGTTAAGCCGCTAGTGATCTTCCTGGACATTATATCTCAACAGTGTGCACTATAACCATAAAGGTATTTGGTATAAGTTTATAGGAAAACATATCTGACTAGGCAATACTGACCACTGAGTGGGATCCAAAAAGATATCGAAGAAAAAGGAGGCCCTTGAAAGAAAACACTTACCTAAGTGAGAATCATACCGATGCGTGTTGAATTGCCACAGGAGGTAGAGAATATCCACCAGAAAAGGACAAAGCCAGATGATGTAGGTAATGAGCAAAAAAGTTATGGGAAGTTGTCTACATTCCAGCACCTCCTCCATCTACGGTTTTCTTGGGAACAATGAAGAGTCTAGAATAAAAACCTGGTGAAGTGTGTAAAACAGGTTTTTGATGGCCTGCTGAGATGGTAGGTCCTGATCCACTTCCAATAGATGCTTGCTGGTCAACGGATCCTAATGCAAAAAGAAGGAAATGGGTATAGAAGAAACAGGAAGTGGGGAAAGAATGAGATCACAAATCCTTCCGATGAAACTTGAAGAACCCAATGATCCTAGACAAAAGGATGCCAGTGATGAAAAAAATCGGTAAGTCAAGCTCCCGCTGGGTAGTCACTGATACTGTTGGCGACGTGAAGTGCGTTGTCAAAGAAAACGGCGAGATGAGGTAACCCAAGCAGGAGAGACAGGTAAGGGTTGGGAAGGAGAAGGACGAGAAGTTGTAAAAAGTGCCATACTGGGCTCCAACTGAGACAAGCCAGTAACAAGAGTGTAAAGGGTAAACTGTTGTTGTAGTGATGCAACTCATGACTCCAAGGAATCAGGGATCATCTTCAATATGTAATGCTGCAAAAATGGGTCCATACATAAATTCTAAAGATAAGATACTGGTAAATGGACATGAATGATGGTTGCATAATGACAGAGAAGGTCCCAACGACAGAGAAACCATGTATGCAAAACCAGAACCAAAGACGACAAATGAGCCAACGAGGAGGAAAGAAGGGAGGGGATGTCCCCAGAAAACCCCTCAAGATTTTGGTGGAGAGCCTCAGAGAAGAGATGGATGATAGAGAAATACCATAAAAGTTGTGAGGATAAGACGAAGGTGGGAAAATTGGGCATAGGTTAGAGGAGATTTGAGGACCACCCCACCAAACAGGTAAAATAGAACCTAACAAATGTTGGTATAGAAAAAAGGACAGTCTGTATGATGATAAGCAAGAGCAAACTGATCGAAAGCCTGTGGGAGGCAAAGTATGCTAATCCACTCACTTAATTGTGGGGTAAATTGGTCAGCATATACCTGAATATCTGGGGAGGGGGAAAAATCAAATAGAGATATGAAGATTGGTTATGTAGTAAGGAAGGACATGGTGCATAGTAAATAGGGGTAAAGGATAAAACATCACATACCTGAGAAACAAAATCCAAAAAAACATAGTAGGCCTAACTGACTTCTCGGGAGGGGCATGGGAAGGCACTGCAAAATCAGGAGGGGGGAAATAGGGAATCATAGATCTCGTTAGCCTGAACAGGCTCAACATGTTCACATGGAAGTGGGGCAAGATTCAAAGATACAGGTTGTCCCATGTAATGTTCAATCTCCCCACGAATAAGTGCTGATAAATCTCCTGCTGGGTTGCTTAAAACAGGGGAGACCGGTGACATAGCACTAGTTGCAGCTTTGGAACTCATATAAAGAAGAGTTAACTAAAATTGAAATTATTAATAATAATGTGACTGCAATAAACTGGGATTAAATTAAAGTGAAGAAACAGTCTTAATAAACTTGGAAGTAATTTATTTGAAAACCATTTCACAAGTATACTAAAGTTGAATGTGAAACTGGAAACAAACAAAGGAGCATGTCCAAGCACAAGCGCTGCCAAATCAGAAGTGTTAGTTCAGTAGAGGCATATAGAAGGACTCACATGTGTCATGTGAGTATGTTGGTGGAGAAGTGATGCACGATGATTTGCATGAGAGACATGATGGAATCATTTGATTCCAATAGGGGGTAGCAGAAGACTTTTGGCATGAGAAAAGAAAAAAGTTTACATATAGAGGGTAGCACTGGATGAGAATAGCTAATCTTCTGAGAGGAGGGAAGTACCATATCGGAAATACATGATTTTTTTTTAAATATTGCCTCTATTAAGATATAGATTATTCGTTAAGGTTTTATGCGATACTAATTGGTATAACATAAACAAAAAGTAGTTTAATAACATTTTGAATGTAAGACATTAAAACCTTGTGCAGTAAAGGATACCCACTAACTACTTTCAGAGTTACAGTATGTATGCCTTCATGTTTACAAGATTGTGTAAAATACACAAACTTATTGTGAAAGGGTTAACAGGTGAGTGTTTTACAGCTGTTTTAACCATTTAAATGTAATATTTCTCACAAACGTTATAATTCAAAAAATGATCTTAATTCAAAAGATTTACATTTTCACGAATTTTTGTGAACACCACAGGTACATTTTTTTAGATTTCATCCAAGAATTTGAACATGATGACCAAAACTTATCAGAAATATCTTAAGAATAATTACCAGTTTAATACTTAAGATAGGAATACTTACAGTCTTATTTTTCAACAGAAGACAATCAAGAAGTTTACAGAGAGACATTATTCCACATATTTCTGTGACTAGAACCAATTCAACACAATTTCTTCTCTTGAATTCTGTAAACAGGGGGACATACTTATTAAACAGGTGTCGTAATTCATTGGCCATGCTGGGATCTTTTAGTTGTAGCCAAGACTCAACATAAGTCTGCCAACCTAGTCTAGCATAGTCTAAATAAACCATTCCACATCGAGATACAGTAGCTGGAGATGCAGCAGCCAGATCTTCTACCTCAAATAGCATTGATACCTGTATAAATTTGTACAAAAAGTTATCATGTTATTTTCACCAAATGATTGTTTTCAATCTTTTGTTAATTTTCTGCATTACTAAAGTTAACAATTTTCTAAAATGAAAACATATTTCCAATAATACTTACCCCTGCTGACACTTTGCCTATCTAAGTATTGGTCTCACATGCTCCAGTCTTTTATATCCCACTTAAATGCCCTTTGCAATACCTAATTTACAAATCTATCCACCCACTTCAATTTGCCCTCTATTCTGACACTGTATATAAGCACCTCACTCAGATAATGTAATCACTTTTTCAAGATTTACACCATCCCAGTCACTACCACCAGCTTTTATTGGGGAGAAAGGGTAGGAGAATGTCAGTGAAGGTAAGTATTATTGAAAATATATTTAAATTTTAGGAAAAGGTTAACTTCCAAAACATACTTACCCTCTATTGACACTTTAGCTAGAATCCCACATTGAGAAGGTGGAGGGACCAGTGAGACCCCATACAGAAAGCCTCTGTATAGAAGAGGGGGTGTACCAAGATAAGAGTGGTACCTAAGTGGGGAAACCACACTACATCCAGAACTTAATATTGGTATCAAAGGTGGAATAGTACACAAGTAAATAATATAGGCCAGCTTCAACCACATAGCTGAGTTCCACAACTTGGGGTTGGGATTAAGGGGTCATGGTCCCTATATTCCTCGTTGGTGGCTAGGGCAATTGGACGGCAATGTGATATATAGATATACTGTTGATTGGATCCCAACCTATAGCCATAGAGTGATACATTCCAAACCACTGAAATTACAATGAGAAAGAAAGCACCACTGAAGTGGACAAACTTACTGTTCCACTTGAAGAAGTCCAAAAAGCCCAATCCCAGACTCGGAATGATGGCATCATATATGTCTTACTCAACCAAAGGAACAGACCTTATCTGGTCTGGAATTATGAACATTCATCCTCAACTCTCCAATTGAGTGGGAGAGGAGCATTCTACTTACCCCCAGAATTATGAAGAGGGCATGGAACACTGTGTTCAACCATGGACCTAGGATGGGACCACTTCATGTTTGGAATTATGAGAAAATAGTGGATCCGACACTGTTCATAAGAAGGCCCAAGCACACCAGATAGTATAGGGTCAAATCTGAACTGGTATAATGAGAATGCTCCCATGTAGGCCGGAGCTGCTCTGACCGACATCTGGGAAATACAACCAGGGACCTGGGTAGGAGAGTTCCCAGCTTTGCCCTCTTTTCCAAGACTGGAAGAACACACTTGAACACTCTGAAGGAAAAAATTCTGTCCACCACCCCAGTCACTGTAAACTGGGTGTGGTAAGGACTCCCTAGCTTCACCAGTAGAATCTGGGGGGGTAATGCACATTGGTGGGTCCTGAGGAACAGTGCTCTGGAAACAGTGCAATAGGTGAACCAAGTTCCCTAAAAATTTTAAAAGCAAACTGACTCCGATTTATTCAATCCAATGATTGGCAGGGACATGTAGAATCCCCTTCAGCTTTACTCATGATAGTTTATGAGTAGTGGTCCATTATAATATGGTATTACCATCTGTTAATGTGCCTAAATGGTCTTATGGAACACCTCATTTCTACAGAGCCTGTTGCAACCAGAATTGTAACCAAATGGGTTGCTAGTGTGGAACTGGATTGATAAAAGCACACCAGTCTGGGTAACACTCACCACAGAGTGGGATCCAGTGAAAGCAAAATGTAAGGGATTCTGAAGAAGAAAGAATGAATAGGATTAGTTCCTCCTCCATATAATCTAGCAGATGTTGTTAAAACGGCCATGTGAGTAGTGGAAAACCCCTAGAAGAAAAATTGCCAGATCATATAAAGAATGTAAGGGAAAGGAATTAGGAGAAGTCCATTTTCTCGCCTATAAAATGTCCCCCGGGAAATCAAAGAAATAAGCAGTGAAAGATATAAATGTACTGAAGCTGATGGGATGTAACTTTCAGAAGATTCCTAGTAAAAATCCACAATATCCAACCTGGATATTTGCAAAACCACCTCCAAAGAAGTGGGGATAAAGCTTTGGAAACTGAAGTATCCCAAAGAATACAGAGATGAGAAATATCACCATGAAAGGAGTGCCTGATAGGACAAAACAAATGATTAGTGTATGATCAATTGTAGAAGTGAGAAATAGTGGCAAAAAAATTGTCAAGAGGGATTTATCCCCTTCCCTGGTGGCCAAAGACTTACAAATGAAAGGACCTATCAGGGTATAGAAGGACCTAAAGGGAGAGAGAGAGAAAGTGTCCCACAAACATGCCAATAACTCCATCTGATGACATCAGCATGTCAGCAACAACAAATACCCATTAAGGAAGAGGTGGTATATAGTACAAGAGACTAAAGGCTCAAATGGTTGTCGAGACAAGGCATTTAGTACCACCTTAATATCTTGATTAAGTAATGGATAAGGACATTTCGGAAGAAGGCTGGATAGCACATTGGGGAGTCCAAAACCTCCAGATGTTTAGGTTAACTAAAAGGAGATGAAAAAGTTGTCTGACCTAAACAACAGAAGACAAAGCTAACCTCAAGTAAAAAAACAGGCCAAAACAAAATATGGTGAACATGTTTGTTAAAGTGGGTACAAACTCCTTGTGAAGCACACTTCAGGCAAATGTAGACATTAAACTCCAATGAAATGAGAAAAGTCTTGGTGTAGAACGTGGGGTTTAGGATGCCTCAATAAAGATAGCCAAAGAGGAAGATGCAGAGGTGGGCTGACATGAAGAAACCGTAGAAGAGGAAATCATGGATAAGCTGGCCAATCTAGGCTAGCGACATCTCGCAAGTAGACGATCGAAATATAGTCAGAACTCTGAGTAACAGATGAAGTGAAGGAAAGTCATAGATGTGCAAACTCATCCAAGCAGGACTGAATGCATCTACCATCCAAGTCTGACGATGAGGTAGTGGAGCCTCCAAAGCTTGCAGCTGAGTATCAATGAGTGGCTAAAGCTATCCTTGGAGGTCCAAACTGAGAATAAATCTATTGGAAAACCACACAACAAAGAATCCATTTGGTCAGGAAAAAGTGAGGATTGAGACTGACAATCTGCTAGGAAATCCATCACCCCCAGAAAATGACAAGCCAGGAGGCTGATATGATTGGAATATGTCCCATAGAGAAATAACCAAATTGAAGAGATCACTGGAATTGATGAAATGTCTCATGAGGATTTACCCATGCAAGAAATCTAGACCTTACACTATTGCCAGTTTGAAAGTGATCAAATGAACCAACCTGGAACCCCACGGATCGAAAAATTAAGTGATGTTAGTCTGTGGAATTGAAAAAATATGTCCACCTGGAGGTGGAAAGCCAAATCATGCCAACAGACAAACGAGGGTACAAGGTATATTTATCCCCTGATGTAAAAAGCAGGAAACCTCTACAATAATCAAACCAAGAATATCAGGTGAAAGAAGGAAAAACCTAA